TTTTTGACACAGGAAGTTATTTTCTCAATACTATGTAAACTATAAAGACAGTATTTGTAGGAAACTTGGTCACTTGAAAACATTGATTTGTAAACATAATTTGGGCAGATCTGTGCATTGATAACAAAAGATGATAACAAAAAATTTTTAGTGCAACTCTTCAAACTTGTTTACAGTCAGATTGGTTCCCCCAAGCCTTTAAATCTGTGGATACATATACACTCGCAGAAGCAGCCTGGAGCCTCAGGGAGAAAAGGCACAGCCACAGATCAGGATGCTGAAACTGTCTTGTAAACAGAAGCTCTTAGGGCTCTTGAGAGAGTTGGAAGAACGCATTCCCCCAACACCTAACTGGCTCCATGAATAAGACAGAGGTGATTATTACAATTGTCTGTGAGACATTATAAAAGCACACAGATACAATCAGTCACTCATTGAAAACATCTTCTGCTCACACTCCCTCTAGATCTCTACTTACCCACCCACCTACCATCCGTCCATCTCCCCCTTTGCCCCTTCAAGCTCTGCACAAAGCAGACCACCACTTGCTAGAGCTGTAGACAAAACAATGTTTCCACCTTCCAGGGACTCTAAGGATGAATTCTTTAGGGTGCATAAGGCTAATGTGTGATCACGGGATGTTCTGAGTGTGGAAGCTATTTTGCTTCATTTCTTTCCCACTGGGAACAACATTACTTTTACCACAGGGTAGACGGGGAGATAAGGTTTGCTAAAAAGGTCAACCTTTGCATCAGACAGCCTTGTAAAAGGCACTGTCTAAGATAGTGCCTTTCAAAAGAAATAATAGAGTGAGCAGAACCACGTGCATAATCATGTACTTTCTAGAAGAGATACTAAAACAAGGGGAACAAAACAAGGTTAATCTTAATATGTTCATTTATCAAATATTATTACTTAACACATATTAACTGTAAAATTATCCATGAGATAGTATTTTTTTACATGCCCCAAGTCTTCGTATTTGGGAGAATTAGCTCTTTGCACTTATAATAAATGCATTGCAGCTGGGTAAGCCACATTTAAGGCATTTGGTAGCTAGCTACCTGCAGCCAGTTGGTTGCCATATTGAACAACAAATCTTCTAAGAAAACATTAATTCCCTGTGTATAGTCTGGTTTGATATTATTTTTCAATTAACGATCCAAGCACATGCCAGGAAATGTCTTCCCATTCAGTTTTCTGAGGTCAGAGATCTTCCTGGAACTGGTCTGTTAAAACATTTAGAAGCACCCACCATGTTTGGAGTTTGGTGGCACACACAGTCAGACTCATTTCTGGTTGAGTCTCAGACACAGCAAGCTTGGTTATGACCACAAGCTTTGGAGCTGGACATCCTTGGTTTGAAACCTGGCTAGATCAGTCACGGTGTGCCCTTGGGTAGTTACCACACTTTCCTGTGCCTTACCCTCCTCACCTACGATATATAGACAACCATAAATGCATGATAGTATTCCCTAGTGGGGACCAATGAGGTTTAGGTGAGTCAATTTGCACTGTGGAAACCATTGCTTCTCACAAAGAGCACTATTCGGGTATTTAATAAGACTTATTTTAAAAATCTTAAAAAAAAATTTAAAATTAGTTTTTACTTTCTCAATGTGGTCCGTAAATTATTTCTTAGGAGAAAACACTTTCGAATGGAAAACTGTGTAGTTCTGAATCCGACTGAAAATCAGAAAACCCAGGGGCTATAGACCATTTGGAAAAAAAAACAGCCTACCCGGGCTTTGATTTTCTAATTAAGGGAAAATATTTTTGAATGTCTACTTTTTTTAAAAGCAGTTGTGAAAATAAAGCTCCTGGGAGAATCTTGGTTAGTGGCAAGGAATTGCACCCCAGTGTTCCTGTCATCCAGTCAGTTAATGAGCACCACACAGCTATGAGGTGCACGTAGCCGGGCTCCGCTCACACTGGAGGACTCGATTCTTCTTTCATTTCCAGTGTACAGAAACAAAGAACCCTGACTTTCACGACTGCTGCCCCCCCCCCATCATGTTCAACGGTGCCAGGTCCTCAGTGAGCAGCTCCCGATTCTGACATTGCCTGGCATCCTACCCATTATCTTTCCCTTAATTAACAGTGACTGGAAACAAATAATTTAATTCTGGGGCAAATGAAAATGAATTAATGGTGCCAGCTCCATTTCCCAGCTTTCTAATTGTCGGTAACAAAGGATAAGAGGGATGTGTGTTGCTTTGGTGTGAGATTCATTTGAGGAAATAAATGACAGATGGACGATTAGTGAGATTCTATTCCTCACCCAAACAAACACTGATGTACCCAGCAGGAAAATCTCTCTTTGTGCAGAATAAACATTTGAAGTCACAAAGATTACGTCTGCTGGACACATTTATTTTCTAAGAGTAAACACCAAAGACTTGGCTTGGTGAAAAGAAAAAAACAAAGCAGAAATCTGAGCATGATAGCACACACCTGTTATGCCAGCATTTGAGATGCTGAGGCAGGAGGATCAGGTGCTGGAGGCTATTCATTCTGATCCTCATCGTGTGATCCTATCCCGGGGGCCCGGAGAGGGAGATGAGAACATGCCAGGAGCGTTATTTGGCTATTTAGAGACAACAGCGAATCTCAGCCTAAAATAAAACCTCCCTCCAGTCCTTTCGACATTCACAGCAAAGACAACTGGAAGACATCCAAGCCTTGGATTTAGAATGTACGGGTGACTTAATTATGATGTTTGCAAGTTAGCAGGATGCAGTATAGCCATTCCCAGTTATAAATCTGCAGCATGCGGGGTGTGGGCTCGGTGACCTAGGACTTCTCTTCATGTTGTGGTGTTTGCAATGAATGGACCTGGTGGGCAGATGCGCTGCCCAATGAGACTCTGCCACTGCCAGGAATAGCTCTTCCAGCGGAATGTTCTGGAACCTTAGAATCAAGCAAGCACAAGATGGAGCTGGAGACTTCCTGACCCACTGTGAGCCAGACTTGAACTAAAATGTCACGGATCACCTCCCTTCTCACAGCCCCTCTGCTGACTGGTAGACTGCGATGTCACTTGGGTCTACTGGAATCCAGTTGGCATCCAGTAAGCTCTGAGAAGCCTGTTTTATTTATTTTGTCTTTCTTGAGGCATAGTCATCCCCTTTGGGGAAGACTGTGAGAAATATTCACAATTAACTTTTGCTGATGTAGTGGTATCCTTCCTCACAGAGACTTGGCTTCTCCCTTATGCAAGGAGTTCTGGATCTGTTAAGTAGTGCCTACTTGGAAGCTGACTGAGGAGCCATGACTGTTTTCAGTGATTTGAGTTAGAGTTTTGTTCATTCAGTATGGAACATCTCTGCTTATACAGATTAAATAAGAATTCAACGGTTCTCTGTGGTGGTAATATAATTGTACTGAAATGTGATTTTGATTGTATGTTAATAAATAAAGTTGCCCGGGGGTCAGAGCTATTAGAGCCATAGCAAGAGTGTGGCGGTGGTGGCACACGCCTTTAATCCCATAGATCTCTGTGTGTTCAGGGATACAGCCAGCATTGGAGACATATGCCTTTAAGACCTAGGGGGCTGTACATTCAGACAGTGACGAGGCAGTCACGTGTTTGGGTTTACAACCAATGAGAAGGCAGAACAAAATACTATGAAAAGACGGACAGACAGGAAATAGATCTCTTTCGGGAAGCTGGGACACCGCAGGCGGAAGGGTGAGATTTTAGCTCTGAGCTCTGACCTCTCGGCTTTCTCTTTTACATTGTTTCTGTGTTTCTTATTTAATAAGACGGTTGGTTACATCAATAGTTCTCCATTTCACTTCTGGGAACCACGTGACCTAGGCATCGGTCTACAGGTTCGGGCCATTGTGACCACACCTTGCTCTCCTGTCCTTTCCAGTGCCTATGGCTGTGTTCCCTCAGGCAGTGAACATGTTGAGCAGTTGTCCTATATCTGCAGACTCCAGCCCTTCGGGGTCTGCTCGGCATGTACCGACAATATTCTGAAAAATATTGGTTTTAGTTGAGAATATGTGTGTAAGAGAAAGATATGCTGGGGTTCTCTGTAACACAGAATTGTGTCCTGCTCTGTAGGCTGTGATCAACGGCTCCTGCTGGTATGAGCTCTCAGACTCATAAACTATCCTGTCCCCCTACTTCATAAAAAAGGAACTACTGTTTCTAACAACATCTCAAAAAGAATATCGCTAAGTCGTCAATCTGGAGGCAGAAATTTATATTTCTACAAATTTTTCCTTATATTTCTACAAGTTTCCCACACTCTCATAATCAGGCTGCTGTGTTTTTTACACTTACGGACCCAGAGTAAGTGTATGCTTTGGTCTCTTTCAAGAAAACAGCTACATCATTGACACCCCTGCACATGGCTAGTAGTATGATTCTAGTTAACTCTGCCCAAATCAGGAAATTACAGACAAAACTTCTTATGTTTTCCAAAGCAGGCTTCCCCCCTAGTTAAACACACAGAGGCAACCTAGACCAATAAAGCCACAGTGCTTGAGACAGCCTAATCCTGGATTTAAGAGCAGTCCCTAAATAATGTGAACCACTGTAGTAGGTACAGCTCTCTCTTACTTAAATCTTCAAAAGAAATGTGTTTCTGAATATTTGTTTCTGTGCAAGCAGAATCCCAAGTTTAAGCAAAACCAGTCCCCTAGAGGTAATTCACACCACCACCCGCCACAGGAGCATGGGTGCTTAGTGCCTTCTTGGATTTAAGTGTCTATAATCACACTTCTAAGAATCAACCTCGTGGCTTCTCAGGCTGACACAAAAAATAGAAGAAACATGTTACCCGCTTCTTTCTTAACACCGAGATCTTTTAGCGTGAAACCGTACAATTGTGAGTAAACACGTTACTATAAAACAGGAAGGAGAAAAACCTTACCCGAATCCAGAAAGCAAACGACAGAGGAGAAAGAAGCCGTAGCCTTGCACAAACGAGGACAGGAAGGCAAAGAATCCGTTGACAGACATGCAAATCAGGAGAGACTGCTTCCTGCCCACCTTGTCTGCCAGTCCTCCCCAGAAGAAGGCCCCCACCATCATCCCGAGGTACACTATGCTGCCTGCAACACACAGAAGACAAAAGAGCAGGTCAGAAGTTGGGAACCAACAGCACACGGAACAGCCGACGAGGCACAAATCACGCTCCAGCACTTTGCATGGGGCACGGGGTTGGGGTGGGGGCGTGGAGGGTGGGGGGTGGGGGGTAGGGGAGTGGGAGGTGGGAGGTAGGGGAGTCGGGGGGAGACCCCTAAAAGCGCACCGTCAGGGAGACACAGCGATTGCCTGACAGGTTGGAAGTCAGCTCTGCCAAGTCTTTGAGCAGCCTGACCCCTCAGGAGCACCGACCGATGGGAAGTTATTTCCTTTGCCATCACACATAGAAGACAAACTGGTCACACTGCACCCCAGCCTTGTGAGGTTCGGGTATGCGGTGGGAAGGCACGAGAAATCTCACAGAGCAATTCTAGGGGCTGGTTTCAGGTTTCCACTTTTGGTCCGAAAGCCCTGTGTGTCACCATGACGAGGACACGGTGGGAATCCAAGTCAAGCCCCGCCCTGCCCAGGTCAAAGTGGACCTCCAAACTGTTTTAATACTTGCTTGCACCAACGACCTGTGCTAAGGCCAGACCTTAAACTTTCCAGTCCAGTCCCACTTGAAGACTCTGCCCCTTGCTGTGAAGTTGAGAAAAGAGGACCTAGCAGTTACGAGGATGAAATATAAACGGTTTCTACAGCTTTTGCTCTTCTCATCAGAGAAGGCTCTTAGAGCCGAGAGTTCAGTGAGACAAGAAATAGTTTTAGTATGTCAAGAAATGTTAACATTGGCTTTGGCCCCTAAGGAAAACAAATGGATAACTAGGAGTTAGACATTCTCCTCGCTGTCACTGGAGTGGACACCTGAATTTTTTTCTTTCAGTTTATTTATTTTTACATTTTCTGTGCATTGGTGTTTTGCCTACATGTATGTCTGTGTGAGGATGTCAGATCCCTGGTACTGGAGTTACAGACAATTGTGAGCTGCCATGTAGATTCTGGGGATTGAATCTGAGTCCTCTAGAAGAGCAGCCAGTGCTTTTAACCGCTGACCCATCTCTCCAGCCTTTTTTAAAAAAATTATTTATTTATTTTTGCATGCATGTCTGTGTGAAGTGTCAGATGCCCTGAAAAGGAGTTACAGACAGTTGTGAGCTGCCATGTGGGTGCTGGGAATTGAACTCAGGCCCTCTGGAAGAGCAGCCAGTGCCCTTAACTGCTGGGCCATCTCTCCAGCCCCTTACTTGCATTTTCTAATTCACTCTCGTCTAAGAAAAACAAACCTCTGACAAACATTGTGCAAACCTTGGTGAGGAACGTAGGTGTGGTAAACGTTAGTCCAGAAGCCTTTCTGAAACAGTGGCATGTTCAGGAGGAGAGACATAAGTGAAGTTCCTTATGTCTAGAAGGGGCACTAAACAGGCTGTCACTTCAGGTTTTCATCCATTTCTTTTCCTTTTCCTTTCCCCCCCTTCCTGCCTCCCTCTCCCTCTCTTGCCCCTTCCCTCTCTTTCTGTCTCTCTCCCTCTTTCTCCCCAAGATGCTACTGTACATTCCTGGCTGGCCTAGAACTCACTATATAGACCAGCTTTGTTATAACCCTCCTGCCTTAGCTTCCTGGGTGCTAGGATTTGCAGGCTCAGTCCACTTCTTTGCAGTATCCCAGTCTAATTGGAAGCTGGTTTGGGTAAGGAAAGAGTCTGGTTTACAGTTGTTCAGACACTTTTCATTCACCATGGCTGTGTGAACAGTATTTATGTGATGTTTGGAAGGCCTCGCCAAGTGTTTTCCTCCTGAGCCTCATATCGACTCATTAATTATGTGGTCACTAATAATTAGGGGGATGTGACTGTTTAAACAGGCTATTTCTTAAACTTATCTCCATCAACAAATTAGCCCTTTTTTTTTTTTTTTTTTTTTTTTGCATTCTTAGGTCAATGTCAGGCTATCTGGAATGTACATTTAAAAATAGTGCTTGGACAAGTGATTCATGCCTGCAAATCCTAGCACCCAGACAGAAAGAGAGGGAAGGGGCAAGGGGAAATTCTTCAGGATGGTATTGAAGTCCTCCACAAGTGGCAGGCTTATCGCCTAAGAGTGCAACCTCAAGCTGAGTATTCCTACCGCTTTCACTCTGGTTAGAAATGCTTAAGCTCTGAAGGTAGTATCTTTCGTGCTTCATGTTTGTTTGATGTTGGTAATTAGACTATTCCACTGGGCAAGCTATGGGAAGGATTAAACCTACCAAACAGCTGATTTGAAAGAAGAACGTAGAAGTTAGAATCTTCATTTGTCGATCATGTAAGCTAATTAAAGCCAAACACCGGAGTGTTCACAAAGTCTCGGTGTGAACAAAACTGTGACCGCTCAGACAGGAAGGCTACACACTGTGCTTCCTGATTAGGTCCCACTTGCCATTTTGTATTCACAGTGTTGTGCAGGGAGCCCTTGAGAACCTGGAGTAGCTGTACAGTTCCTCTGCCCTCTCTGCTCTCCATTCTTCACGATTCTCTGCTGGTCAGGGTTAGCCGGACCTTCAGCCAGAGCCCCTCAGCTTAGAAGTGGGAAGACTAGAAGTCATGAGAAGGCAGATTTTGAAATTGCACCTTTTAGACCTTTGCTCTACCAACTACGGACTTTGGGCCAAGGACTTGATAGGAACCCAAGCTCTTGGGCTTTCTGGGGCAGACGTGTTCACTTGGGCCTGATCCCTAGATGATCTGTATGCTCAGGTGAGTCTGAAGGTCCTCTTAAGTTGGCATGCTTTCCACCTAAACATCCTCAGAAATGCATATCTTACTTAGGGACTCATATGTGTTTGAGCAGGGGGCATAGGTTACAGGATATGCTAACTCTGAAGACACAGAGCAGTCAGAGCTCCCTGGAGGAGCGGGGGATCACAAAAAGGCAAGCAGAGGGCTTAGAAAGGGCTCCTATGTGGGCATGGTTTCCCACTCCTTTAATCCCAGCACTTTTGGAGTTCGAGCCCAGCCTGGTCTACAGAGCAAGCATCAGGACAGACAGGGCTGCACAAAGAAACCCTGTCTTGAAACCCCTTCTTCCCCACAAAAGGAAGGACTCCCCGGGACCAGGTGAGCCTCCTGTCCAGTTCTGGGAGAACAACATAAGAACACCCTGGACTGTGACTCTTGGGTTCTTTCATCGATTTATCCAACCCAGCGACACTATCAGGAGGTTGAACCTGGGATACAAGTTCATGATATTCTTTCCACAGCTCTGGTAAAGGCCCTTTTTTCAGCCAGATCCGTGTCTTGGTCTTTAGAGAAGGACCCCAAGGCCTTGAGTATGACTTTCTCATCAAGGCATTTTCTAATGTGGAGGCTGGTTCAATTTGGTTTAATCATACCCTGTTTCCCCTGATAAATATCACATTTCCATTTCTGTCTCTGCTAAGCCACTTTTGATTCCTCCTGATATTCCCTAAAGGGGGGTCACATCTTTTCTCCTAACATCATTTTAAACCACATTTAAACAAAACAGACCAATTTAGGAAACCGGCTACAGTTTTTTTTTAACCCTCATAGTAACTGCCAATTGGTTTTTAAAAAAAGATTTTAAACGTTTTGGTTATCTGTGACTAATGGATGACTTTAGAATTCATTGCACGATGAATTTAGAAATTCATTTTCAAGGAAAAGTCTTCTATGGTGACATGCTAAATTTACCCAGTGAAAAACACCTCCATGAGGCAATAATGATCCTATTCACCTGTTACATGGGGAGAGGGGCATTTCTTATGTTAAAACTTCTAAGTCAAAGTGCAATGAATCATTTTGAATAAAAATGACATTTCTGGGACTGTTTGGAAAGATTACTATAACACAGTCTGTTGCATTCATAAAATAAAGAAAATACCATTATTGCCCTGATTGTGCTCAGTATTTCTAGATATTACTCCTTTTATAAGTAGCAGATACACTTATTTCCCCAAAGCTAGAGTTTTCTCCCACAAACCCAGGGTGTGTTTATAGTAGGTGCTCACTGACGGAGATTCTCTCCTTGACTAAACCTATCCAGGGGGACTCTTTTCATCCCAGGTCCTGACTTGGCTGCCTGTGTTCCTCTCTGCATTGTTCAATTTTAGCAAGGCTCCTGATAACCCAGGACCGCCCCCCCCCAACACACATACAATGACCCATACCCACAAGTGACATCCTTTGATACCTAATCAGTTTCCTCATCCTCTACCATCCCTCAGTAGATGTCTAAGTATCCTAGTTAGCCTTCAGCAAGAGTCCAGCTGGACTAGTATGGTGAGAATTGCTCTTGCCCTGTGATGTGTTCTCTTAGTAATTTTCCACCCATTTCCTAGGGTCCTTGGAACTTTTCTCTTTGGCTGTAAATTCTTATTTTTCCTTTTAGTAGTTATTAAGTCCAGCTTTCCCACTGCAGTGACCCCTATGGCGATGGTCTCGAATAGAGCCTGTGTACTGCCTTTAAACAGTAGTAAATAAGTGACCTTCCATTTCATACTACTTACATGGTGTACTTATCTAACTCACCAAATTAAACAGCCTCACCCCGACCCCCAACAGGCACATTGAGACCATCACTGAATGACTTTAATTGTGACTCACCCTTCTTTCTTCTGCTTCCACTGGTGACAGTTTGTGATTACCCAAGGCTGGTTGCACATGCACCTGACCTGTTTGTTCCGGTTCTGCTTGTTGTTAATTATACATTTGCTTACACATCAATCACATAAATAGTGAGATGGGTGTGAAAGGAAAGGAAACTATTACTATGAAAATGAACGTAGGACCTTGGAAAGAAGACAGAGAAGAATCAGTGCTACTGAACAAATGTGAGCCACATCAATCACTGGAAGAGACCAAGACCTAATGGAAAAGTCCATGCTCAGATTGGGGGCCATGCCTTAAAGCTCACACTGTACATTAAAGAATTGTGAACCTGAAAAATCAAAGCAACTGACGACTGGGAGGACACAAGAAAGACAATGGTGAGCTGCAGTGTGAAGAGCCCTTCTAGAGGAAAGACTACTCTG